TGCCCTGTCCTCCACATACACGGATGTGTCCAGCCCAAGAGGAAAGCCACAGTGGGGGCCTGAAGCAGCCTGAACCCGTTAGTCAGCTGACCGTTAATCTGTTGATGAGTGTCCCTCCACTAATAGTAGAGGAACATGGACTTTGGAGTAAAACAGACGTACCACCTAAGAGTTCACAAAAGGTGCTGTAAACCCAGGCAGAATACTTAATCCTACCACAGCCTGAGCTTACTCTGGAGTGGGATGTAGGAAACTACCTACTTATTAAGCTTGGTGCACTGGTCTAGACAAAGCAGCTTGGTAGAGCTGGGCTCATGGTAGGCATGTGTTAGCTGGCAGCGGCAGCACTGGGGCAGCGGTGTGATGCTTGTGTGTTGGGTTAAGAGACACCCAGAAGAGACGGAGAGAGAGCCACTTAGAGCTGGCTAGATGGGACTCATGTGGCATGCCCTATAGACCCCATGCCATGCCCAGTCTCTCCCGGGCGGCCTCATACACAGGTGCCATCTGATTTACAGTAACAATAAAGCAGATGCTGCCGTTAACCCTTTACAACAGAGAGCCAAGCCTTGAAGAGCTGTGCCTGAACCTGGGGCAAGAAGCGGTGAAATTGATTGAAGTTCAGGTGAGGGACGGGGACAAAGTCAGGACCTGAAGGGGCTGTGACTGGTGACTCACACCTGTGACCCCAGCCCTGAGGAGGCTGAGGACGTCTAAGGCTGCCTGAGCTACAGTGAAACCCATCTTGAGAGAGGGAGACAGGGAGAGAGAGAGACTGTAGTCAAGCATGGTGGCACACACCTTTAAGCCCAGCACTTGGGAGGCAGAGGCAGGCAGATCTCTGTGAGTTCCAAGTCTTCCTGGTCTACAGAGCGAGTTCCAGAACAGCCAGGGCTACACAGAGAAACCCTGCCTAAAAAAAAAAAAAAGAAGAAGAAGAAGAAGAAGAAAGGAAGGAAGAAGAAGAAGAAGAAGAAGAAGAGAGAGAGAGAGAGAGAGAGAGAGAGAGAGAGAGAGAGAGAGAGAGAGAGAGAGACAGAAAGAAAAGAGGCTGTGGACCACTGAGATGTCAACAGGTAAAGGCTCTTGCCACCTCAACCTGACAAGTTGAGTTTGGTTCCTGGAACCGGCATGGTGGATGGAGAGAACCAACTGCAGAAGGCTGTGTCCTCTGACCGCCACCCGTGCAGTTGTACACAAGCGTGCGCGCACACACACACACACACCCACCAAACAGCTTCGGCTACATAGTACAGCCTTGTCTTACAAAATAAGAAAACCCCTACTGTACTGGCCCACAAGATGGTTCAGCCAAGCATGAAAACCAGCCAAGCACGGTAACCGAGTTCGATCCCTGGAATCCCCATGGCGGAAAGAAAGAACTCCCCAAATTCCCTCTCACTTCCACACAGGTGTAATGGCATGCATGTGCACCCACACACTCACAGGATTTTCAAAAAGAGCCTTTGAAGAACTCGAATGTCCATGTCAATTTCAGTATATTCAGACCTTATTTCCAGTTCCCTTTCCACAGTTCCTTTTTCTCATTAAAAGACTGACTGGGGGAGCCAGGCAGTGTGGCGCATCCCTTTAATCCCAGCACACGGAAGGCAGAGCCAGGTGGATCTCTGTGAGTTCGAGGCCAGCCTGGTTTACAGAGCCGGATCCAGGACAGTCACCAAAACTACACAGAGAAACCCTGTCTTGGAAAAAAAAAAGATTGGGGGAAGGGGGTCCTAAGGAATAAATAATGTATGCAAAGGGAGCAGACACACAGTGGTGTGGTGGGCCCGATGCTGGCACAGGCCAAGAGTGAGGGGACAGCCCAGTGTTGGGGCCTCGGCAAGGCAGCGGGCTGTGTTGTGTGAGAAGGACGGCAGCATGGGAACTATGGCAGGGCTTCAGCCGGGCCTGGCGGGGGTCAGTGGACTCCGCACCTCGCTGGTGCACACGAGCAGCCCAGCGGGCTGCCTGCTGTCTAGGGCTCTCTGCAAATGCCCTGCTCCGTGCTGAGCTCTGCCCTCTTTAAATCCTACTGTTGTTACCCCTTCAAGCTCTCCTTCCCTGCTGTGGATTCTTAATCTTCTTTAAAGTGATATATTTATACCTCATAGGTCAGCTAGGTCAGCGGTATTTATAGGGCAGGTCATGGGCAACTGGCCCACGTGAAAACCCAACCAATTTGTGATCCCTCAGCCAGAGACTACGTCAAGTTGTGTTTCATTCATAGAATTAATTTTTCTTCCCCCTGGATGCTGGGGATTGAACTTCATACATGCTGGGCAAGTGCTTACTGCTAAGTAGGCCTGTGTGCTCACACTCTCTCTCTCTCTCTCTCTCTCTCTCTCTCTCTCTCTCTCTCTCACACACACACACACACACACACACACACACACACACACACACACACACACAAGGGTCTCACTAAGGCCTCGAGCATACATTTTCTGTGCCTGCCTCCTAAGTGGCTAGAATTATAGTCTGCCAACAGGCCCACATACAATTTGTTTCTTCTTATAATTAATTTTTGAAGGTTTATCTTTTATGTGTATAAGTGTTTACCTCCATTTATGTCTTTGCACTACATGCATGCCATGCCCAAGGAAGCTGGAGGAGAGGGTTGGAGTCCCTGGAACTGAAATCATAGGTGGACATGAGCCACCACATGGGTGCCAGGAACTGAACCCAGGTCCTCTGTTCCCACTGACCCGTCTCTTCAGCCCCTGTTCATTCCTTTTTCTCTTGAGGCATAGCCTTGCTATATAGTCCAGGCTGGCCCAGAACTCCAAGCCCTCATGCCTAAACCTCCTAAGGGCTGGGATTACGGCCTGAGTCACCACTCCCCACTCTCAGAGCAGTGTGTTCTAGAGAGTGAGTCATACCCACTGCTCTCTTGCTTTAAAGCTGCAGCTTCCCATTCACATGGCGCCTATACACTCCAGCCCCTGTCCTCATCCATCTTCACGTCCCAGTTCCCTCCACAGACACCAAATTCAAGCGAGGGTTAGGGTCTCGGGGATTAGTGGGGAGTGTGTGGACAGTCACCTTGAGGGGGTGTGACTTCACTGGGGAAGCATGCCTAGGGCGACGGGATGCAGACTGCCTGGTGCTCCAGCAGCTCTCAGCCTCCTAGGTGCAGGCCAGGGTTAGGGCATAGGCAGGGCTGGGCCAGGCGAGGGTTAGCTGGGAGGTCAGAGTTCCACGTGGGGAACTGAGAGCGTGCTGAGCTGTGAGGAAAAGGACATGAGCAATGACAGGGTGAAAACGCTGGATCGGCAGCCTGCAAGTGTCGTCCTGTTGGTGAATTACTGGAGTGATGGAGTTAATGTAAATGAACTGGAAGGGGAGGAAATACCAACAAGATGGCTGACTTTCAGAGACAGCAGAGAAACTGGTCAGGGCAAGGCCCAGTGCTTTCAAACTCCGCTGTGTTCGGGAGCCCTGCAGGGCTTTCTGAACAGTGCTGTGCCGCACCCCAAGGTGCCTGAGTCAGCTCACTAGGAGTGGACACCTGGGAAATTCTGTATGTAACAAATTCCCAGAGGCTGCTACTGTTTGGACCACGGGTGAACCGGAGAGGTGGTGATGCTTGTTACTATTTAGCAGGTGGAGGGCAGGAAGATAACTCAGGAGGCAAACGTATCAGTTGCTGATGATTCGAGATCAGTCCCTGGAACCCACAGGAAAAGCTGGACGTGGTGGTGTGCACCTGCAGCCCGGCGCTCACACTGTTTGATGGGAGATAGAGACAGGAGAATCATCCAGACATTTGCAGGAGTAGGAAGCAGAGCAGCAGAAACAAGAGAGACCTTGGCTCAACAAGGTAGAAGGAGATTCCTGGAAATGCCCTCTGACCTCCGCATGCACAGTGTGGTACACATGTGCCTGTGCTCACACAGACACAAATTAATGAGCTAAATAGACAACAACAAAAAACCGCTAAGGAGGCCAAGAATTTGTGAGCTGGTGTGGATGGATGGTCAGTCATCCACGTGGCTGTTGACATCATGGACACGCCGCCTGGGGACAAGTGTGGCATTACTCTTGAAGGACAGTAACAAGGAAGAGTAAAGCAGAGCAGGACATGGCCTCAAAGGGACAAGCACTTAAAATTTTTATTTTTATTTATGTGCATGTGCTGGCCTGTATGTGCACCATGTGGCTGCAGATACCTGCAGAGGCCAGAAGAGGGCGTTGGATCCCCTAGAACTGGAATCACAGGCAGTTGTGAGCGCTCAGTGTGGGTATTGGGAGCCGAACCCAGTCTCTCTGGAAGAGTAGAAAGGACTCTTGACCACTGAGTCATCTCTCCAGCCCTGGAACAGACAGTCTGAGGGAGAAAAGGAGCCATTGAAGGAACAGTGGGATATGAGGAGAGCACTAGCCTCAGACCCAGAGGAATGTGGGATGTGGGAGAAAACTTCACTAGACCGTGAAAGGGAGACAGCGGAAGGTCCTACACTGGGGCTGAGTGGTGAGGCTCAGAGAAACTGGGGTGTCAGCTGGCACAGATCGCTGGAGATGAGCTCTGGCCCGAGCCTCCCTTCCACGGTGGAACCGCAAGTGTGCACTTAAAAAAATAGGTGTGACTAGGCCCTCTGAATGTGGGTGACAGTTATGTGCTAGATCTGTCTGGGGAGCCCCTGGCAGTGGAACCAGGACTCATCCCAGGTGCATGAAATGACTTTTTGAACACACTCCCCAGGGTGGGATGCCCTGTTGTTTCAGCCTTGACACGGGGGGTGGGGGGGTGGGGGTTGTTGATCCTGCCTCAACTTAGTATGCCAGACTTTGTTGACTCCCCAAGGGAGGCCTTACCCTCTCTGAGTAGTGGATGAGGGGTGGGATGGGGGGAATTGAGGGGGTGGGAGAAGGGGAGGGAGAGGGAACTGGGATTGGTATGTAAAATGAAAAAAACTTTTTAATAAATAAATAAATAAATAAAGTAAGTAAGTAAGTAAGTTAAGTAAGTAAGTAAGTAAGTAAGTAAATAAATAGGTTCTGGTGGGCTGGAGGGATGGCTCAGTGGTTAAGAGCTTATGCTGCTCTTGTAGAGACCTGAGCTCAGACTTCGACACCTGTGTTGGGTGGTTCACAACTGCCTGTAACTCCATCTCCAGAGGATCTGACACCCTCTTCTGGCCTCCATAGGCACTGCACTCACGTGAACACAACACATACACATATACAACACACACACACATATATATAATTTTAAAATAAGAAAAATCTTTAAAAATAAAATAAGCCAAAGCGTTGGAGAGACGGCTCACTGGTTAAAAACACTTGTTGCTCTTGTAGAGGACCCGGATTCAGTTCCCAGCACCCAACGTGGTGGCTCACCATGAATGTAACTCCACATCTAGGGGAACCGACACCTTCTGACCTCTATGAAACACTGCATTCATGTGATACATACGTGCATACATACAAACAAACACCTGCTCACACAAAATAAAAATAAAATGCAGCCAAGCATGGTAGTCTACACCTTTAACCCCAGCACTTGAGGCAGAGGCAGGTGGATCTCTGTGAGTTCAGGGCCATTCTGGTTTACAGAGTAAGTTCTAGGACAGCCAGAGCTACAATGTGAGAACCTGTCTCAAAAAATAAATAAAATCTAAAAGATAGCATAAATATATAATTTGATTGTTTTGTTGTTGACACAGGGGTGTCTTCCTGTGTCAACAGGGCAGCCCAGAGTGGTTCTGAACTCAAGATCCCCCTGCCTCTCGTACAATGAATATGTAATCGATTCAATATGTAATGAACACATACTTGGTCAACAGCGTGAATATGTAACTGCTTCTAAAGGAGGTTCACGTGGCCTTCAATATAAGACACTCAAAGATACTTTAGCCCCACACTCCCAGATCCTGCCGGTCGTTAGTGCTTGAGAGGGAAAGAGAGAGTTCAGAGCTTGAGTGATGACTGGAGAGAAGCATTTGTCCTTTAAGCTGGAAAATGAAAACTTCCAGATTCAGGCATGGCCTGTGAGGGAGCCACAGACACTGGAGAGACTGAGAAACCCGCTGGGCTCTTACGCTCACAGCCTCATCGGACTTGTGGAAGGGGAGGCTGAGGAAGCTTAGCCATATGGAGGTCAGACACAGGGGAATCTTCTAATGGTCTTACACAGCTAAGCTGGCCCGGCCTGCCCCCCTTCTGGAGGTCCTTCACTACCAATCAAGTTCAGTTTCCCCGAGACAATGAAAGCGCTGGTAGAACCAAGGCGACGGAAGCGAGGGGCCGGAGCCTAAGGTCAGCCGAGGCCTTCGAGGAGCCGAGATGGGGCAGCAGTTTAGCTGGGAGGAGGCGGAGGCTGCCGGGGAGATGGACGTGGCAGAGCTGCAGGAGTGGTACAAGAAGTTTGTGGTGGAGTGTCCCAGTGGGACCCTCTTCATGCACGAGTTTAAACGCTTCTTCAAGGTCACGGGCAATGAGGAGGCCACCCAGTACGTGGAGGGCATGTTCCGAGCCTTCGACAAGAACGGGGGTAAGGAGTCCTCCCTGCAGGGGACTCGTGACCAGTGCACCCGGTGCCCTTCCCATCCTTGAGCCCTCAGAGGAGACCCTCCGTGCCCTGCGCCCTTTCTGTCCCGCCATTCCCCCGACTCCTCTCTGCCATCATGTGTCCCTCTCCCTTCTTCTCCTGGGCTCTCTGCATCCTCTCCCTGAGAGCCGAGGGTCACTGGCACACAGCCTGGGCATTTTGAGTCAGGAGCTGCAGCAAAGGGGCAGTTTGTCACCCCCGTAGAGTCCCTGATGCTCTTAATGCAGGGAGCTGAGATGTCCCAAAGCCATCTTAGCACAGACGAAGAGCGCCCCTTGCTAGGGTCCTTCAGACGGAGGCCCCTCGGTTCTTCTCTGTTGTGGAGGGTGGAGGGGGCTTCACACTGACTGGGAGGTGGGTGGGTAGTTCCCAAAGTCCCTTTTAACTCTTAAAAAAAAAAAGATTAACTGTACATGTGTGCGCGTGCGTGCGTGCGTGTGTGTGTGTGTGCATGTGTGTGTGTGTGTGTGTGTGTGTGTGTGTGTGTGTGTGTGTGTGCACGTACCTGTGGAGGCCAGAAAGGGGCATCAGATACCTTAGAGCTAGAGTTATAGGTGTTTATAAGCTGCCCAGTGTGGGTACTGGGATCCAGAAAAACGCCAGTCCTCTGATACACCAGTTAAATGCTCTAACTGCTGAGTCTTCTCTCCAGCTCCCCCTTTCAACTCTAAGATACGGGGGACTGCGTGAATCAAGTTCCAGAGTTTCTTTAAGCCCTCCAATGGCACCAGCAGCTAAAAGATACTAAATTACATAATAAACACGTGGTAATCGGGCCTTATAATTTGTATGTATGTGTGTTTGTATTCATGTGTTTATGGACGGGAGGTACATTTGTGTGCATATGGAGGCCAGAGATGGATCTCAGGTGTCATTTCCTAGGAGGCGCCCATCTTGTTTTTGGCACCACCTCTCATCGGCCTGGAGCTCACTGATGAGGATAAGCTGGTTGGTCAGTAAGCCCAGAAATCCTGCTGTATCCACTCTCTCAGCAACAGCAAGTAGATGCCACTACACTCCGTGTTTTCTTTTCAAAGTTCTACTGAATTTTAAACTGTGTGAGGGTTTGTGCACATGAGTGCAGTGCCCGTGGTGACCAGAAGAGGGCAGTGGATCCCCTGGAACTGTAGTTACAGGTGGTGGGGAAGTGCCTGCCCTTGGCTGATGCGGTCTCTCGCCGCCCCGGCCGGCCCCTGCTCAGCCTTTGTGTAGGTGCTAGGGAAGGGCTTCATGCTTGCATGGCGATCTCTTTACGGACTGAGCCTTCTCCCAGGTCCAATCTTAATGTAATCCATTGCTCCTCTCCTTCGAGAAGCCCAGAGCCACGTTCTTAGTGTCTCTTATTTTCTTCCCAAGTTGTCTTTCTCTCTCTCAACCCTAGTATGTAAAATCTGTATCAAATTCTCTTCAACTCTAGCTTTGCTTCAAATATGTATTTTAATTCAGGGACTGGAGACGTGGCTCAGTGGTTAAGAGCACTTGCTGCTCTTGCAGAGGACCCAGGTTCAGTTCCCAGCACCCACATGGCAGCTCACAACTGTCTGTAACTCCAGTTCCAGGGGATCCGACTCCCTCACACAGACGTACATGCAAGCAAAATACCAATGTACATAAAATAAAAATAAGTAAATTATTTTTTTAAAAAAGAAAGAAAGAATTATATGGAAAAAAAAAAGGACGTGATTTTTAAAGGTTATCTAGTTCAGTGTCCTGAGGTCCTTTTTGCTGTGTTGTGTTATTTTGATTTTTGTTTGAGACAGGGTTTCACTATCTAGTCTTGACTGTCCTGGAACTCTTCGATAGACCAGACTGGCCTCGAACTCACAGAGCTCCACCTGCCTCAGCCTCCTGAGTGCTGGGATTAAAGGCGTGTGCCACCACTGCCCGAGCCCCTGCGGTCTGTAGTATGGAGTAAAGACTATTTTGGCTCCCTGAATTGAGGGGACACACAGGTGATCTGAAGAAAGTGTCATGCAGAAGAACTTGTGCCAAGCTGACTTGGTGGGAATGCCACTCGAGGTCTAAGGCCCTTAGCCCCACTCAGAGGGTGGGCTCAGCCGTTGCAATGTGATGGGACCTCTTCTGTTGAGATCAGCCATGAGACCCACAGGGCACAGAGCCAACTTCCGACCTCGCAGGTCCACCTCCTCTTCTTAAAGCTGTAGGAGGGGTGTGGTTTTTTGTCCCAATTAAATGATGAGAAAACTGGGGTGAAAGGGGGTGCATTGACAGCTAGGTGTGGCCAACACTGACCACACAGACAGACCCTGTTTCACACCAACACATCCAACCCAAGAAAGTGAGCCATTTGTCCAAGGTTAAGTACTCACTCGGGCGTCTTAATTCCTGGTCCAGTGCTCCTACCTAGAGGACTGGGGTTTTGTTGCTATTTTGAGATCTATTTTATGTTATGTATATGAGCGCTTTGCCTGCATGTCTACATATGTAGTGCAGCATGTACCTGGTGCCCACGGAGGTCAGAGGGCATCTGATTCTCTAGAACCGGAGTTGTAGATGTTGTACACTGCCCTGTGGATGCTGGGAACTGAACCTGGATCCACTGCAAGGACCAGTGCTCTTACCCACTGAGTCACCTCTCCAGCCTGTTTGTTTTGAGACAGGGTCTTACTAGGTAGCCCAATCTAGCCTAAAACTTGAGATCCCCCTGCCTCAGCCTCCTATCTCTGCCCCTCCTCTCTCTTGCAACACCCCTCCTGAGTGTAGCCTGGGGATGGAGTTTTGAAAAAGGAAGATGGAGGCTGGAAGTTCAGTGGACCCAGGCTTGATCCCAGCACCCACATGGTGGCTCACAACCGTTCCATGTGACCCAGTGCCCTCTTCTGACCTCCATGGGCACCAGACACACACATGATATACATATACACATGCAGGCAAAACAGTCATACGTGTAAAACAAAATAAATATAAATCTACAAAAAAAATGTAAGGGTAGCTGAAGCCGTCTCTTTTGCTAGTCAGGATTCCTTCTGTTTGCTTGCTGACCTTTCGAGACTGTGTGGTCTGGACTGGCCCTAGCACAGGCACCAGTTTGAACTTCCTGTGTGAGAGCTGCAGGGTCAGTGCACCCCGCAGCCAAGCCAGGGAAGTTAATCTCCCAGGTGCCTCCAGCCTGCGCTGAGGGTATGGGTGTTTCCATCCATCTCAGGCTACCGTGGGTAATTGTTGCTGACCCATGAATAGATGAGATTAACCCCAGCCAGAGGTGTCCCAGAAATGGTCCGTCCCAGAGTTTCTATGACCTCACAGGGGAGGAGGCTACACCAGGAAGGAGCTGTGCCAGAGTGTGCCTCCTAAAGCATGGGGGTCAGTGTGGAAACTGAATTATGTTGGGAGATAATACTCTAAGAATGGAAAACTCTGGACAAGTGAAGAGCAGTTCTCTAGCCCTGGTGGCATGGGTCTGCCATCCCAGCTGCATGGAAGGGCGAGGCAGAGAATGAGCAGGGTCCCAGGGTGAGGAACAGCATGCACAGGGACAGAGAGGCCTCTGGTGTGCAGGGAGAGGGAACACTGGGTCTGGGGACATCCTGTCAACAGGACTCACACCCTGGGGAGGAGAGGCTGGGGATCTGGGCCTCGACACTGTCCACACTCAATGCAGGACAACACCATTGACTTCCTGGAGTACGTGGCAGCCCTGAACCTCGTGCTGAGGGGTACCCTGGAGCACAAGCTCAAGTGGACCTTCAAGATCTATGACAAGGACCGGAATGGCTGCATCGACCGCCTAGAGCTGCTGGACATCGTGGAGGTCAGCATCTGCCTGTGAGCAGGCCCTGTCCCCTTCTCACTTCTGGGGCGTGGTGGCCCGCTCAACAGGGAGCCACCTGGCACTGAGTCGGGGTAGAAGGGATGAAATCATTTACAATGTGTTGTCTGGGGCCACCAAGATGGCCCAACTGCTGGGCGGTGGTGGCGCACGCCGTTAATCCCAGCACTCGAGAGGCAGAGCCAGGCGGATCTCTGTGAGTTTGAGGCCAGCCTGGTCTACAGAGTGAGTTCCAGGACAGGCTCCAAAGCTACACAGAGAAACCCTGTCTCGAAAAAAAAAAAAAAAAAAAAAAAAAAAAAAAAAAAAAAAAAAAAAAAAAAAACAGAAAAACAAACAAACAAAAAAAGGCCCAGCTGTTTGGTTCCCACCAAACCTGACAACTTAAGTTCAAGCCTGGGGTCTATATGGTAGAGTGGGAGAACAGAGTCCTGGAAGCTGTCCTCTGACCTCCACCCGCCCACCATGGTACACATGTGCTCGCATATACAGAATATACCCTCCGACACACACACTATTACACACATACACAGCAGTAATAATAGTGATAATAATAACAACAAATTTTAATTTGAGAAAAGAAAACAAGAATGCCAATGATCTAAGAAGCCATCTACAGAAATTAAAAGCCAATTAAACCCAAAGAAATTAAAAACAAGAAGTGAATAGGGTAGAAATCAAAGCTCACGCTGCAATCTCAGCACACATGAGACTTAAGCATGAAGATGGAGCGTTCAAGGCCTGAGCACCCCGTATGGTGAGTGCCACGCCAGCTTTGGCTGGAATGAGACACATGCCTGAGCGAACAATCTGAGTCAAAACTCACCGCTGGGACAGTACCTGAGGGAAGAATTTAAAACAGGAAGGACCGTTGTGGTTCCTGATCAGAGGTCTCACTCTTCCAGCCTCCTGTCCGTCAAATACCGCGGTGACCGTAGCGTGCAACCAGGGCTAGCGACACCAGTAAAGACATCCTTCTAAAGGCTGTGTCTTCTAGGCTTCCATGACCTGCCTTCCACAGTCTCCTCAGGGTTTGTGTCCATCAGTGGGTTAAGCCATTGATTCCTCAGAGCCTTTTAGATCTGCTTAGCTCTAGAAAACACCTCATTTATGTGGAAGTGTACTTAACAAATCTTCTAGGCATCTCTCAATCCAATCAAGTCTCAAACAACTAACATAAAAAAACAAGTCAATAAAAATCAAAATTGTGCTGGGCAGTGATGGCACACACCTTTAATCCCAGCACTCGGGAGCCCGAGGCATGCTGATCTCTGTGAGTTCAAGGCTACCTGGTCTACAGAGCAAGATCCAGGACAGGCACCAAAACTACACAGAGAAACCCTGTCTTGACAAAACAAAAACAAAAATCAAAATTGTTTCTTTTTGTGGGGCAGGCGGCATGTGTGGTGTGTGTTTGTGGTAATATTTTTTAAGCAACTTATATTTTGCTATTTTATGTGTATGGATGTTTTTCCTGTATGTACAGTGTGTACCATTTTTGTGCTGTGCCCTCAAGAGCCAGCTAGAGGAGGCGTCAGGTCCCCTAAACTGGAGTGACAGGGGGTTGTTAACCATCATGTGGGTACTGACAATCCAGCCCAGGTCCTCTGGAAAAGCAGCCAGTGTTCTTAACCACTGAACCATCTCTCCAGCCCCTATACTTTCTACTTATTTGTTTCTTTGTTTTGAGAAAGTGTTCACTCTTAAAGTTCTCTGATTGCACTAAGTGGCCTGGCCAGTGAGCTTCAGAGTGCCATTGCCCACAGTGGCCTGGGCCCACCCACATCCATGATTAATCAGGAAGATGCTGAAGTGCCCAACAGACTGGCGCTGGAGGCGTTTTCTCCGTTGAGATTCCCTCTTCCCTGGTGACTCTACCTAGTGTCAGATGAACAAAAAGTAACCAGGACATCTGGGTCAGGTGATATGAGGATGCTGGGCCTGGAGGCCAGCGCTGGGAGGTGGCACTAAGGGACACAGGTCCCTGAGGTCTGTCAGAGTTGCCTAGGTCTTTCTCTCTGATAGGCAATTTACAAGCTGAAGAAAGCCTGCCGGGTGGAGCTGGACCTGGAGCAGCAGGGCCAACTGCTCACACCTGAGGAGGTCGTGGACAGGATCTTCCTCCTGGTGGACGAGAATGGAGATGGTAAGAGAGATCTGGGGAAAGGCTGACCTGAATCTCAAAGGGCACCGGAAACACCAGAGCACACGTTTGCAGGGCACAACTCTGCCGAGAGTGCCTGGTAAAGGCTGAGCGTGAAAATAAGGAGAATTATTTTAATTTTGTGCTATGTACATGAGCGTTTGCGTGCATGCATGTATGTCTGTGCAACACGTGCATGCAGAGCCCAGTGAGGCCAGAAGAGAGTGGTGGACCCCCTGAAACTGGAGTTATAGACAAGTGTGAGCCGTCACATGGTGCTGGGAATTGAACCTGGGTCCTCTGGAAGGGCAGCCAGTGCTCTTAACCTCTGAGCCATCTCTCCAGGCACAAATATATTTTTTAGAAGATAAAAAGGTGCCAGAGAGATGGTTCTGTGGATGAAGGCACTTGTCACCAAGCCTGGTGACCTGAATTAAATCCCTGGTTGAAGGTGACAACCAGCCACTGCAGGTTGTCCCTAACCTCACACTCACACTGTGGTGAGTGTGTATGCCCCCCCACATGCACACACAAATATATGTATATGCATATAACATATATGTTTATATATAAATATATACACAAACATATATTTTAATAATAATAATAATAATAATAATAATAATAATAATAATAATAATAATTAAAGGTGTGGGAGGCAGAGGCAGGAGGAGCTCTGTGAATTCAAGGCCAGGCTGGCCTCCATAGTGAATTCCAAGCCAGCCAGGGCTACTCAGTAATACCCTGTCTCAAAAAAAGAAAAAGAAAGTAGTTGGTGCCTGAGGCATGACACTGGAAATTGTCCTTTGGATTTCATATGCATGCTTGAGCCTGAGTGCGCACGCGCGCGCACACACACACACACACACACACACACACACACACACGCATGCACGCACACACACACAACTTGTGAGTACCAAGAGGCTCCTGTGGACTCAGAACTGACAAGCTACGGACTAGAATCTGAGGTTTCAGTCTGGTTTGTATCAGGGTGGGGGGCCAGACTAGGAGAGACCCTCCCCATGCGCCCAGGGGGGCCAGACTAGGAGAGGCCCTCCCCATGGACCCAGGCCCAGCTTCCCTCCCCCTTGTGACCATCTCTCCCATCCTTGCTCAGGCCAGCTGTCTCTGACAGAGTTCGTTGAAGGTGCCCGGCGTGACAAGTGGGTAATGAAGATGCTCCAGATGGATGTCAACCCTGGCGGCTGGATCACTCAGCAAAGGCGGAGGAGTGCCATGTTCTGAGGGCCTGGGGACCCCACGGGAGCCCACACTCCCCTCAGCCTCCAGGGTGCTCCAGGCTTTCAAAGTAGCAGGAGGCCCCTGGCCTGGTTGGCTCAGGCCAACTCTTGCTTGGTGTGGACTTCCTGATCCTCTGGGTGTGGGAGAACAAGGGATGAGCAGCGGCTGCCGGGTCTGCAGAAGCCCACTGGGGTTCGGTCCGTTCTCGAGATTTCTAGCGTTGTGGGGATTCTGTCACACTGCTCCCGGAAGAACTGGGCTTTGGTGGGAGTTGTGGGGCCCCTTCTAATCTTCAGGTGTTGGTGGAGATGGGGCAGCTGCAAGGTGGGGTGGGGTGGGAGTCACAGATTGGTAGGAAGCGTCAGAAAAGAGAATAAGGACGGGGAAGGACCGTGATACAGCCCCACCCACCCTGAGCAGCCTCCTCCCCCAGGTGGCCACCAGGCTTGACAAAAGGGGCAGATGGCAGCAGACAGTTATGTCTGTGATCTTCCTGCTCTTGGAGACCTGCTGGGCTTGCCAGAGAAGGTGTCAGCTCTGCTGGGCGCTGCTCCCCATCTCCTCCTCCTCACCCATCGCCAGTGTGAGCCTGCCACCATGTCCAGCCATAGCCCACATGCCTCCTTACGGGTGGAGACACCCTCTCTTCATCTCTTGGGAGAACCAGGCGCCTCTGCACTGGGGTTCCAGGCCAGACTTTGCCTCCGACTGCTGTTGGACTCCCTAATGTCCTGCAGGCTGACTAGACAGTTTCTAGATAGTTATGTAAACATCTTTCCTGCAACCCCAGTACAGAAGTTAGATTCCCAGGGTCCTCCCTAGGTAACCCTTTCCATCAATGCAGCTGCGGAAGGCCCCTCCGAGGACAGGAAGTTGGAGCAATGTCACACTGAGACGCTGAAATGTGAAGCCTGGCGGATTATTGGCTTTACCTTGAGTAGATATGTTTTTACGTTAAAATAAAGTAAACTAACTTATTGACCTTGAGGGGAAGTTTCTTTGCTTGTTTGAAGAAGTTCCTGCACTGTAGCTCAGGCTAGCCTGGAGATCACTCTATAGCCCAGGCTAGCCAGAACTCCTGCCTCAAGCCCTAGAGCCCTAAAACAAGTGTGAGCCACTAGGCCCACGTTTTTGTTGTTGTTTTTGTTCCTGAGAGAGGTTATTTGTTTTCATTTTGTGGGGCAATTGAGACAGTTTCAGAAGCCCAGGTTAGCTTGAGACTCATGGCAATCCTCCTCCTCCTCCCTTGGGTGCTGGTATCACAGGTGTACACTACTGTGCCCAGCTTGAACTTGAGTGTTTTTTGTTTTGTTTCATTTTTTTAGTATTTTTTTTTTTTTTTTTTTTTTTGGTTTTTTGAGACAGGGTTTCTCTGTGTAGCTTTGCGCCTTTTCCTGGAACTCACTCTGTAGCCCAGGCTGGCCCCGAACTCACAGAGATCTGCCTGCCTCTGCCTCCCAAGTGCTGGGATTAAAGGCGTGCGCCACCACCGCCCGACTTAGTCGTATTTTTATTTTATGTGTATGGGTGCTTTGCCTGCATATTTCTGTGTGCATTGTCCACGGAGGCCAGAAGAGGGCGTCCAATCCCTGGGACTGGAGTTACAGAGGTTTGTGAGCCACCATGTGAGTGCTGGGTCCTCTGCTAGAGCAACCAGCTCTTGCTGCTGAGTGGCGTCTCAGCCCCTTGGGGTTTTGTATTTCCCAGGATGTTGCTATAAGGTTTCCTTTAGAAATCACTTAGATGGAAACGGTCCATGAAAAATGCAATAGTATCCTAGGTAGGCAAGGAGATTTGTTCCCTGAGTCATGGAGGTGTATGGAGTAATGGATGTGTATGAAGCGGGCTGGAGGGTGTTCAATCAGCACTGACACACAGTAGAACCTCAGTAAATGTCTCTTCATCACTTGAAGTCACACAAACAGGCTCCAGGGTCAGGGCAGGGTGTGACTGCCTCAAGCTGCGTTAGCAGATGCCAGGATTCCATCAGAGGTCCAGGAGCCTCTCAGAGCTTCCACATCCGAAAGGATGTGGCCTGGAAATAGAGCAGGGAAGCTGGGCAAGAAGATGTGAGGGGCAAGAGAGGGATGTCAGGACGGAGAGATACCAGCAGGAAGCACCAAGCAGGAAGGAGGGACCGGGGACCATCCCCTGTGCGGGGGCTCTCAACTCCACGCTACTGCCCTCCGCTGGCACTACGCACCCAAAGAAACAAGCCGAGCCTCTGCAGAGTTCAGGAGAGTCTATGTAATGTTAAGACAAGAACAAAACAACCACATCAGGCACCGCACCGGGCCAACCCTCGCATGCAGAAGCCACACAGGGCGAGGCTCAGCCGGCAGCCTCTGCTGCGGGGTCGCCAGCGCCTGCCTCCTCCTGTTCACCGTTCTGGAGTCTGCGCACAATGCGGGTCAAGTCCAGGCTTCGGGTCAGCGTGTCCAGGAGCATCTGGTCCTTCTGGACGCCTTCCATGAACTCCTCCAGAGACAGTTCCCCTGGGATGGAGAGAAAGGGATTCGCAGGATGAGGTCTCAGTAGTCCAGGGCAGAGACAGAGCCAGCTCTGGGGGGCAATGGTAAGGGATCCAGAACCCAAGATCTGGTGCAGGGCTCTCCAAAATCCGGTTCTGAGTCAGAGCAGGGGTGGGTAGAGGAGGTGGCCGGGTGGAGGCCCCCTCTCCTTCTCCTCTCTTGCCCCTCTCCAGGGGTGCTGCCATCCCCTGGGGAACCCCTTCCTCGGCCCTCTCACCATCCCCGTTGATGTCGATTTTGGCAAACACGGTATCTGTGAACTCCTCGGCGCTCATGGATGAGTCGCTCCAGGGATTAATGGTTCGGATAGCCTGGGAGGACAGACAGACAGAAGTCAGGACATCTGTCTCAGGGGTGGGAGGGTGAGCAGAGCAAACTTGTCAGACCCGAGAGCTGTTCAGAGTGGAGATCGTGGTACCTCAGGGCCTCGGGCGCTTGGGATTCTGAGGCAGGAAAGCCTCAAATTCAAGGTCAATATGGCCAAGTAGTTGTGAACCAGTCTACACTACAATGTAAGACCCTGTCATTAAAAGGGGGGCAGGGGGTGTCGTGGTGGCACATCCCTTTAATTTCTGTACTCGGGAGGCAGGGGCAGGGGCGGGGCAGGGCAGGGGCAGGGCAGGGGCGGGGCAGGGGCAGGGCAGAGGCAGAGGCAGAGGCAGGGGCAGAGGCAGAGGCAGAGGCAGGGGCAGAGGCAGAGGCAGGGGCAGGGGCAGAGGCAGAGGCAGAGGCAGGGGCAGAGGCAGAGGTAGAGGCAGAGGCAGAGGCAGAGGCAGGGGCAGGCAGATCTCCATGAGTTCCAGGCCTGCCTGGTCTACATAGTGAGACTCAAATGCTGAGATGGCTGTAAAAGTATGCTTGCTGGACTGGAGAGATGGTTCAGAGGTTAAGAGCACCGACTGCTCTTCCAGAGGTCCTGAGTTCAATTCCCAGCACCCACATGGTGGCTCACAACCATCTGTAATGAGATCTGGCGCCCTCTTCTGTATACATAATAAATAAATAATCTTTTAAAAAAATATGCTTGCTGCCCAGGTAAAAAACCAGGTGTGGCCCTGCTGCTGTAACCCAAGGGCTGGGGGTGAGGGTGGGGGTAGGGCAAGAGGCCTGCTGGGGCTTGCTGGTCACCAACCTAGCTCCAGGGAGAGACCCTGTCTCGATAAGACAGATGGACAGAGCAAGACACTTGACACCCTCCTCTGGCCTCCCATATACCCACCATCACACGCACGCACACACACACACACACACACACACACACACACACACACACACACACACGGGTAAAGAGTGGAGCTTTAGTACCAATGAGGAAACTGAGACCCAGATCATGCAGTTGGTGAGAAAGCTGTCATCCCAATTCTGGGTTGCAATTTCCATCCTGGGCTCTCAGCCCCGGCACCCACCCTTGACCACCCACCACGCACCTCCGGCCCAGCCCTCTGCACCTGAAGTTACCCGGATGATGGTGAGCAGCTCGTCCCTGTCTATGCACCCGTTGCCATCGACGTCGTAGAGCTTGAAATACCAGCGCAACTTCTGTTCCACCTTGCCCTTGAGGACCAGGCTGAGCGCCGCCACATACTCCATGAAGTCAATGTAGCCATCCTGGGTGAGCGGGGAGGGGCGAGGCGGGGTCAGCACACCAGGGCTCCGCCCACCCTTCTCAGAGCCCCTCCCGCTTCAGCCAGAACCCCGCTTCAGCCAGAACCCCGCTCCAAGACTCTGCCCAATCCTGCCTCCTCACTCCCTCACCCCACCCCTGCATCCAAAAGCCCTCAGATGCTAAGCAGAAGGGAGCAGAGGCTTGTACATTGTACCACCAATATCTGTCTTTGTGGGCGCTCCAACATTGCCCGCCTCAGAGGCTGTCAATCAAACCTGTTGCTGGCCTGGCAGGTAGGGGAGGATGCCCACGTGGAGGCTCTCTCCTCTTGGCTTCAAGCTCCACTGAGCCCTGTTGTACGCTAAGACTGTGAGGACTCGGAGCTCAGTGAAACAGTCGCCCTGTCCTGACAGGAGTACAGTGTTGGAGGTGCGGGTTTGAACCCCGCCTCTTGGCCCTCTCTCAGTTTTAGGATGTGGGACTTAGCTTGTCCCTTCTACGGCACTCGACTTCCTGATCTAGACTAGCGGCAGTGGCGCCGCCGACCGTCAGCATTGCTTTTGATGAAGTGAGCTCCTGGAGCTGGAGCAGCGGGCACAGCGGAGCGCAGGAAGTCAGTGAATGCTGCTTGATGCTGACTTTCTTTTTCTTTGGTGGTTTTATTTCAAGACAGGGTTTCTCCGTGTAGCCCTGGCTGTTCGGGAACTCGCTTTGTAGACCAGGCTGGCCTCAAACTCACAGAGATCCACCTGCCTCTGCTTCTGAGTGCTGGGATTAAAGGTATGTGCCACTACACCCAGCTCTGTTTGCTTTCTTTAAAAAATTTATTTACTGGGCTGGAGAGATGTCTTAGTGGTTGAGAGCACTGATGCTCTTCCAGAGGACCCTGGTTCAATTCCCAGCACCCACACAGCAGCTCACAGCTGTCTGTAACTCCAGTTCCTGGGGATCGGACACCCATGGCAAAACACCAATGCACATAAAATAAAAATAAATTCAATGTTTTTTAAACTTATTTATTTTTGTTTATGTGTGTCTGTGTGTTTGCCATATGTGTGGGTGGGTATTCTTAAAAGCCAGCAGAGAAGGTGACAGTCCCTGGAGTGGTTGAGAGCACCCTGATGTGGGTGCTGGGAACCAAACTCTGGGCCTCTGAAAGAGCAGCAAGCACTCAGCCACTGAGCCCTGTCTCCAGCACCTAACTCCTTTCTCAGTTATGTGTGTGTGCGCGCGCGCGCGTGCGTGCGTGCATGTGTGTGTGTGTGTGTGTGTGCACACGTGCATGTGTGTGTGTGTGTGTGTGTGTGTGTGTGTGTGTGTTGCCCAGTGGGGTGTGTGCACGTGAGTGCAGATGCGAAGGTGTCAGATCTGCTGGAGTTACAGTTACAGGCCATGGTGAGTTGCCCCACATGGGTGCGGGAAGTGAACCCAGATCCTCTGGAAGAGCAGCGAGTGCTCGTAACCACTGGGCCATCTCTCCAGTCCCAGGATGACTCCTCATTACTACCAGTACAAAGTCACTATGGGGGCGGGGGGGGGGGGGGAGATGCCTATGTCATCACGATGCATCCAATATCTGGACGGGACATTATAGCATCACCCCAGCTCTGCTAGGGCAGGACAGAAGGGGACTTCAGAGGACCCTTCAAGGGAAGGTGACACTTCCACTGAGTCTTGAAGGGGGTTGGTCATGGAGGAACGTGTGACTTTCATGTGTAGCATAAAGTTGTTGCAATACTGGAGATTTAACCTAGGTCCTCAAGTACCTCAGGTAAGCATGCTACCACTCGTCTATGTCCGCAGCTCAAGGAGCATAAGACTTGTTTGTCGGACAGTCCTCCAGCACCCCTGCCGCTCTGCTCCTGCCTCCTGTTCAATCCCAGCATGTCAAGGAAGGGCAAGAGCAGCAGCCCCAAGATGTCCAAACAGGCAGATTAGAGCTGTAAATGGAGAGGTCTGTGGGAGGGCCATCTGATCAGGAATGAGATCTCTGTCATCGGATGCGTGCAAGGGGAGCTGGCAGGGACGTGGCGAGATGGCCTCTGAGATCCCCCCTGGTCTGATTGGCCGCCGGTGGCCTTAAGCAAGACCTTGACCACCCTGAGCAACACAGCAAGGATCCGGCTCAGAGTGAACATTTGCGTGGTGCTGTCTTGTGTTTGAGGGCTTCTGCACACACCTTAGCTCATTCCATCTCTGCTCAACGTACCTCCCAGGACGGCCATCGGGATGGAACAAGGCCCTTTGCAACAACGCTTGAGGAAGAGAGAAAACTGCTCGACACATAATAAGCACTAAATAAGCAGGGTCTTCTTCTGTAGCCCAGGCTGGCCTGGAACCCAGGATCTTCCTGCCTTGCCTCCTGCATGCTGGGCTAAGAGCTCATGCCTCCAGCCCTGGTACCTCGATCTTCACTTTTCGTCTTCTTGTATTACTGAACATTCTAACAAGGAGTTATATTACTGTTGTGATTTTTTTTTTAATGACTACAAAGAAGCAATGGAAAAACCAAAAAGACCGAAGCCACCTCTTGGGAAAGACGTGACCTTGGACAAGTCACAGGGTTCTTCTGAGTCCCCATGTCCTCAGCGGAGATGGGAAAGACAATATGAACTTCCAAAATTGTGATACGGGCAGGGTGCTACACACTTGTAATCCAAATAACTTGTGAGGCTGAGGCAGGAGGATTGTTTCAAGTTTAAAGTCATACTGGGCTATACTGTGAGTATCACACTACAGACACACATCTCAAAAAAATAATTTAAATAAAGAGATTGTGAAATGGCTTCTCCTCAGTAACAGCACAGCTGTGGAGCATGTGTGTGTGTGTGTGTGTGTGTGTACATGGCCATACTTTTGGAGGCCGGAGGTTGATATTAAGTGTCTCCCTCTACCACTCTCCACATTATGTTTGGAGACAGGGTCTCTCCTGGGACCTGAAACTGATCCAGCTAAATTGGCTGGCTAGTGAGCCCCAGGGACCCACCTATATCTACTCCCTTTCCCAGGGCTAAAGTTACAGTGTGCATCCAGCAATTTTTTGGGGGGGAGGGTTCGAGACAGGGTTTCTCTGTGTAGTTTTGAGGCCTGTGCTGGGATTAAGGGTGTGTGCCACCACCGCCCGGCAGCATCCAGCTTTTTACGTGGGTGTTGGTGATCAAAGTCAGACCCCACACCTGCATGGAAGCATTTTACTGGCTGAGCTATTTCCCGGACCCTTAGTCCTTTTATTCCAGCACTTTCCATGGACTTCCTGTGCTGAGAATTTCCATTCGCTCACTTCATCCCACAGCTCCTCCCAGGAGTTGCCCACTTCTGTCCCCACTCAAGCTGAAGTTGAGAGCGATGAGGCCGCACAATTAACCGAATGACAAAGCCTTGTCTCGAAACTGGGTCTTCTAAACTCTACACCAGTGCACAGACACAGCCTGAAAGGACAACACGGATCTGTGTGTGGTGTGATGACCCTGCACATTCACGCCCTGGAGACACCAGCAGGGGGCCGGGCCCAGGCCTCCCCTTTGCCCCCCTGGTTTGCCCCCCTTCCGTGTATCTGGGGCAGCTCCCTGGTACCCAGAGGTCCTCTCACTGGAACGGCTAACTTTTTTCAAGGGGTCGTATGAGTCAGTGTTTCAGCCACACAGTCGAACAGCAGCCAGTCACTGTCACTCGGTGCTGCTATAATAATGGTTTTGATGTCTTGAGATAATTTTGAGAATAGAAACCCATGCCTTTAAAAGAAAAAAAAAGTCTCTAAGCCTTGCTGGTCTTCAACTCCCTATATAGCCCGGATAACTTTGAACTTCTAATTCTCCTGCTTCCACCTCTTGGGTGCAAAGACTGCAGGCGTGCACCCTCACAGCCAGATTATGTGGTGAATTGAATCCCAAGCCTTGAGTACGCTATGCAAACACTCTACCAACTGAGCGGCAGCCGCAGAACTCAGAGCCTTGAGCACACTAGGCGAGCATCTACCATTGAGCTGTATCCCAGCCCCATAGTTCTTAAATAAGTGAGTATAGTATGCTCTAGTAAAACTGTATTTACACAGCTAGGTTCTCGGATAGTGAAGCATGGTGGCGCACACCTGTAACATCAGCACCCAAGAGGCAGATAGAAGGGTCAGACACAGTTCAAGGCCAGCCTTGAACTGTACAGTGAGACTCTGTCACAAACACAAAAGCAGGGGCTGGGGGTAGCCTGGTTGGTAGAGTGCTTGCCGAGCATGCTTAAAGTCTCGGGTTTGGTTCCCAGCGTGGTATAAACCGGCTGTGGCTGTGCACAAAGGAGGGGGAAATAAACATTTAAAGTCAGCCGGGGGGTGGCGCACACCTCTGATCCCAGCACTCGGGAGGCAGAGGCAGGCGGATCTTTGTGAGTTCGAGGTCAGCCTGGTCTACAGAGTGAGTTCCAGGACAGCCAGGGCTACACAGAGAAACCCTGTCTCAGAAAAAAAAAAAAAGTTCAAAGTCACCCTCAGCAGGGTAATGACTTTGAGGCTAGCCTGAACTACATGAGACCCTATCCTTGGGCTGTCATCTGAACAACTGCACTTTAACCGCGCTTTGCTTCCAAAGGAAGGGGTCAGGGATGTGTTCTATCTCAGGGTCAGGCTATTAAACTGCCCTGTGCTGATGCCATTGGGTCAAGGTCAAGACAGTGTGGCCCACGGAGCAACTGAATACAATGGTGTGGGAAGGTATTATCCAGACTCGTGTGTGTGTGGTGTGTGTGTGTGTGTGTGTGTGTGTGTGTGTGTGTGTGTGTGTGAGACAGAGTCTTGTTATAAGCCCAGGCTGGCCTTAAACTTGTGGTGATTCTCCTGCCTCAGCCACCTAAGTGTAAGCATGTACTACCACGCTTGGCTATGCTCGTCATTATAATAATTGCTTAATTAAATTAATGCATATTATAAAATCCATATTAGCCCAAAAGGCTCAGGATTTCTCATATATTCACTTACTCATGTAACTAATGTTTCAGGCACTGTCCCAGATCTGGAACCACAGCAATCAACAAGGTAAGTCCCTGTCCTCACAAAGCACACACCCCAGCAAAGAGAGTCAGACCAGAGGGGTCAGAGCTAGTTAATATCTGGCATCAGAAAACAAGAAATTAAATGAGTGAATTTTTAAATTAATAAGTATGAATTAATAAATTAATAAAAAATAAATTAGTTTTTTTCATGCATGTGGGTGTTTGCCTGCATACCTATCCATGCACCACATGCATGCATTGTCCAAGGAAGCCAGAAGAGGGAGCTGGATCCCATGGAACAGGAGGTTGTTAGCACCATATAGGTGCTGGGAATAGAACCCATGTCCTTGGCAAGAAGTCTTTACTGCTGAGCCAACCCTCCATCCCAAAAATAAAATTTTAAAAATGAAAGCTGCTCTGGGTAGAAAGCCATGGCCAGGAAAGGCAGAAGTGGGGTCAGACCCAATTTTCTCAATAAAGTTTAAATCAGGGAGCCAGGGAGTGGGTTGGTGAAGCTTGAGCAGAGACAGCAAGGGAGGCGGGAGCCAGCAGGCTCTAGAGCACTGCTTCTCAGCCTGTGGGTCACAACCCCTCAGAAAACTCTGTCTCCAAAAATATTTATACACCTGTCGGTGGTGGTGCACGCCTTTAATCCCAGCACTTGGGAGGCAGAGCCAGGCGGAGCTCTGTGAGTTCAAGTCCAGTCTGGTCTACAGAGTGAGATCCAGGACAGGCACCAAAACTACACAGAGAAACCCTGTCTCGAAAAGAAAAAAAAATTACGATTCATAACAGTAACAAAATTGCAGTTATGAAGCAGCAATGAAATAATTTTGCTGTTGGGGGTCACCATACATGAGGGACTGTATTTAAGGGCCGCAGAGTTAGGAAGGGTGGGAACCACTGCTCTAGAGGGAGAGAGCCACAGCAATACAAAGCCCCAGGGCAAGGCATGCAGGGTCGCGAGGAGCCAGGTTGGGCAGAGACAAGAAGCTGACTGACTTTTCTGTTGTTTAGGGGGCCTTGGGGGGTGGGGACAGGGTCTCATGCACCCCAGGCAGGCTGGTAACTAACTGTGTTGCTAAGAGTGATCTTGGACATCTTCCTGCCTCTTCTTCCCATGTGCCGGGATTGCAGCAATCAGCACCTTGCCCAGGCCCCGACTGAGTGAAAAGGATTGAGTTCCAGCTAACACATGCCACAGAAACCGAAGAGATGGCACACTAGTGACTAGGGTTAGGTGAATGTGGGGGAGTTGGGTGGTGTGTGACTTGAAGGACTCTTCCTACAGATATGTCTCGACACAAAGGGCTTCTGTAGCAGATGGAGAGGGGATATTTCAGGGATTTTGGAGGTAAGGTCCTGGGGCCCCTCCCAACCTGGTCAGGAGGGACCACTACTTCCCTTGAAGCGCTTTGGGGTATCCACCCTGAGGTGACTCCTTCACCTCAGCACCCTATCTCAGGCTCTGTGGCTCAGCTCCCCCCATTGGAAGAGCCCTCGGACACCAGGACACTGCCCTTGAGCTGGTCCTTGAGTTCATAATCCGATTCGGCCTCTTAACTCACATATTAGTGAGTTTTAAATAACCACAGCAGGATCTTGGTGTTCCCTAGAAGCCCTGACCACAATGGTGTGTTCAAGGGGCTCCCTCTGCCACAGTGGGTATGTAACCACATCGCTGAGAGATCCCATGTCCCAGTGAGAGGCCAGCCCAATTGATGATCAGCAGAGCACAAGGTGGGGAAGCAGGTCTGCAGGTTTGGATTCCTCCATCGTTATACCTGACTGCTCCAGATAACCGGCAGATTGACAGAAGAGCTCCAACAAATCTGTATGTCTGTCTCTGCCCACCCCCCATCTCAGACAGCATCCCACTATGTAGTCCTGACTGGTCTCACAGAGACCAGGCCGCCTCTGCCTCCTGAGTGCTGGGATTAACAGTGTGCACCACCACACCAGCTCCAACAGAAACCTTAGCCAACAGCGCCCATCCTCGAAGCAGATCCAGGTGGACGAGCTGATGCTAGGTTCAATCATGGGCTCAAGGTTGTCCCTCCAACATCTCCATAAATCCCACTCAGTGCATCTGGGTAGTTTCCAGGAAGACATGCTACTTGTTCTCCACCTGCACATTCAGACTGCCCCGGGGGAAAGGTGAACCAAGGTCCTGGGAGTTTGGGAGTTAGATGTTTGGGTCCCAACCTGGGTCCAGTCCTAATACTCTAATACTCAGAATATCATGGAGACGCCAGTATGGTGTGCCTGCCCAGACCAGTTTAACCTCGGCGGCAACTCAACTCAGTGTCCTGCGGGCGCTCTCTCTCTCTCTCTGACTTCACCCCTCACCCCTCACATTCAAGGAGCTTCTAGGGATCTCTACATAAGCAGCACACCCACCCAGAAACAGCACCTTATGGTGCTCAGTGGCCATCTTGGACATGTTCACACCTGCCTTGGAAGCCACTGAGGTGTAGAATAGAACATGTGGACAGAGAACATCCTTGCGTTCATCCTCTGACCTCTGCTTTCCACTGTGAAGTGGGTCTTCTTATCGCTGTATCCCCAGGGCCTAAAGTGGAGACCCTTAACCATCTGCTGATTCAAACCTCTAAAGTCAAAATCCACCTTCCAGACGAACAAGGTGCTGGAAACACCAACTGACTCAGCTCGCAGGTGGCTAAAGCTGGGCATGGCAACGTATGCTTGTATTCCTAGCAAATATGAAGCTGAGGCAGGAGGATCACCGTGGGTTGAAGGCCAACCTTGGCTCCACACTAAGACTCAGCCTCGGAAACAGTGAAAACCTGAAGTAACTGTTAGGATGGCTACTTCTTTTCTCTTGTTCTCTCTCCCTCACCCCCAGCTGCTCATCCCCCAAGAATGCCCCCCTTCCCTTCCCTCCCATCCTCGGCCCACCTTGTTGAAGTCAAAAGTCTCGAACATCTGTTCCACATACTGGCTGGCTGAGGGGCTCAGGTTCTTGAGGCCAAAGAACTGGCGGAATTCATAGAGGGTGAGCTGGCCAGAGGGGCACTCTGTCATGAACTTTTTGTACCACTGATGGCATTCGGTGCTGCTCAGCTCCTCCACCGACTTGCCCTCCATGACGTTGCCCATGGTCCAGGCCCACCAGAGACTGATGCCCTAGATGGACAGGTGGGTCCTGTTCCCCAGTGTCCCCTGCACAGGGTGGCTTGACTTGACGGAACCCGCCCTCCCTTCTCACAAAGGCCACTCAGTGAGTCAGATGGCGCAGGCGACTGAGAAGGGTGGAGAGCAGGCTGTGACTCCCATCCAAACGAGGGGGTGCCAGAGGACTGGGATTAAAACCAAATCCTTACACCAGCGGGGGCGGCAAGGAATGGAAATAGCATAAGCTTGGGGACCCATGGTCCTAAGATTACAGCCTTGAGCTGCAGAGGAGAGGATTTTTCTACCCAGTTTGCAGTCTCCTAATCCCTTAACAGGATCCAGTGGGTGGCCGGCCGGCAGCTACTCTGATCCTATGACCTCCATGCCCTTCTCATACGCCTGCATCCCCAATGCTCTGGCTCTTGCCTTCGGACATGGGACTGCCATACACGTCAGAGAGACCTGGCTTCTCTCCCAGACAGAGGCCACACGGGACCTGGTAGCGCTGCTGTGCACAGCTGTCCAGGTGCATTCTCTACTGAGAGGTCACTGAGGGGTCCAATCACATGAGAGTTGCTGTGTGGATTCAGAGTTTAGAGCCTTCCTCAGGGACCTGCCTTCCTCAGGGGGCTGGAAGGATGGAGCTTCCGTGACAGCCATCACCCATTGGTAGGGTTTTTCCGTGACAGAGCTGACCACATGTCGCCCAGGCTCCTGTAACTGCTGAGTCCCAAACCCAATTGGCACTTTCCTGTAACAGGTGCTGGCAGCACAGACCCTGCTCACCGACTGAAAAGAGCCCATAATGACAAACCCTTGAGTTTCTTAAAAATCCGTGACAGCGCCGGGCGGTGGTGGCGCACGCCTTTAATCCCAGCACTCGGGAGGCAGAGCCAGGCGGATCTCTGTGAGTTCGAGGCCAGCCTGGGCTACCAAGTGAGTTCCAGGAAAAGGCGCAAAGCTGCACAGAGAAACCCTGTCTCGAAAAAAACAAAAAAAAAAAAAAAAAAAAAAAAATCCGTGACAGCATCTATGAAACCAACAACTGAAGAGTTTGAACAATGGCACACAGCACGGGTGCAAACTGTCACCGCCCAGGAGCCACGAGGTGGATGGGTGAAAACCTCGGTGACGTGGGTAGGCTACCTCCCTAGGGGTTTTTGACAAGAGGTCTCTGGGGCCGCACACACCGTAAAGGCCTGCCAGTGCTGCATCCCCAGCACTCAGTGGCAGGGCCCTGCTGCTGAAGACATGAGCTTTGGCTGTAGGGCATGGAGGAGTCAAGCTGGGCCTGAGCTGGACGCTTCCTCTCTGTGCCCGGCTTTCGTCGTCCCAGAGGGAGAATTGTCTCCAAGCGTCCTGTGGGCTACACTGTGGTTAGAATGTGAACTGTCTGCCACAGGCTCGTGTGTCCCCAGCTGGTGACATGTTTGGGAAGGTTGTGGGTCCCTGAGGAGGTGCAGGTTGGAAGAAGAGCGTAACCAGGGTGGGCCCTGAGATTTTATGGCCTGGCCCTATGTCCTGTGCTAACGGGACATTTGGGTCCTTTCCTTGTAGGCACAGGCAAGTGACAGGCACAACAATGAAGAGCAGCTGTATCTCAGCCATTTGGAAGATTTATTGTATTTTTTGGTGGCAAACACACACATACCACACCACATATATACACCACACACACATACATACCACATACAACACACACACACACACACACACTATACGTATACACATCATACATACCATACACATACACACCACACCACAAACATACCACACATACATACTACACACACACACACACACACACACACACACACACACACACACACACACACACACATCACGCACATACACACAAATAAAAATGTAATAAAATATTTGAGGCTGGGGCAGTGGTGGCGCATGCCTTTAATCCCAGCACTCGGGAAGCAGAGCCAGGCAGATCTCTGTGAGTTCGAGGCCAGCCTGGTCTACAGAGCAAGATCCAGGACAAGCACCAAAACTACACAGAGAAATCCTGTCTCGAAAAAACAAAAAATAAATAAATAAATAAAATATTTGAAAATATATAAAAGCCATCTGTTCTTTATAGTGCTTCGTAATGAATGTATGTTCACATAACCCAAAGGATGGTCATCTTTTGGAGAAGAACCAGTCAGGTCTGTTTTGCATCTGTTCTCCTGAAAGGATGAGTTTAAGGTACACAAAGGGGGGATCCCTAACTTTGGTTGAGTTCTGTAGACTTGTAGTACAGGGATCGTGTAGTGCGAATCCTAATTAGTCTTAATAATAAAATCCCGAAGCCAGATATTGGGGTAAATGCTGAAAAATCAGAGAGACAAGGGAGCAAGCCACAGCCACTTCTTACCTCGCCAGCTCCTCAGCCTGAAAGCCCCCCCATCCCAGCTCCTGTCTCTGCCCACCTTATATTCCTCTCTCCTCCCAACCATATCACTTCCTGTCTCTACATCCCTAGTTCTGGGATCAAAGGCGTGAGATCCCAAGTGCTGGGATTAAAGGTGTGTGCCACCACTGCCTGGATTTTATGGTTAACTAGTGGCTAGCTCCACCCTCTGATCTCCAGGCAAGCTTATTTGTTAGAGCACAAACAAAACATCACCATATTAAAGTGTATAATGTTGAGAAACATTAAAAGATAATTTTGGTAATGCAAGTTAGAATAGAAAGTGAATTAGGTACAACCTTTTGGATTCACCAAGATAGGATAGATATGGAGTATTTTCTCTGTATTTGTGAATTTTTAATGGACTAGACGTATTTATTGCCTGTATATATTGTATATAGTTATTGTACTCATTGTATGTAGTTTTTCTTATATTAGTTATAACCTTTAACCTTTTTTTATTTTAGACAAAAAGGGGAAATGTGGTGATATTTTGTTTGTGTTCTGACAAATAAAGCTTGCCTGGAGATCAGAGTGCAGAGCTAGCCACTAGTTAACCATAGAGGCCAGGCAGTGGTGGCACACAGCTTTTGTTTTGTTTTGTTTTTCGAGACAGGGTTTCTCTGTGTAGCTTTGCGCCTTTCCTGGAACTCACTTTGTAGACCAGGCTGGCCTCGAACTCACAGAGATCCACCTGCCTCTGCCTCCCAAGTGCTGGGATTAAAGGCCTGTGCCGCCGCCGCCGCCGCCGCCGCCACCACCACCACCACCACCACCACCACCACCACCACCACCACCACCACCACCAGACGGCATATACCTTTAATCCCAGCATTTGGGATCTTATGATCTTATGCCTTTGCTCCCAGTACTTAGGAGGCACACGTCTTTAATCCCAGCACTTGGGAGGTGGAGACCGGAAGTGATTTGGCTGGGCAGAGAGAGGAATAAAAGGCTGGGGGTGGGGGTTAGGAGTTGGCCTCTTTTCAGGATGAGGAGTTGGCAAGGTAAGAGGTGGCTGTGGTTTACTCCTTTGTCTCTGATCTTTCAGCATTTACCCCTGATATCTGTTTCTATTATTAAGACAATTAGAATTCACGCTAAAGGATCGTCCCCAAATCTCAGCAGAATTCATCTCCCCGGCAGCACCACTGACATTTGCTTACATGCTTTATGAGATTTTTACCCTGCAGAATAAATTACAATGTAGCAGCTTAAACCTACACAGACTGGTCATCCCGCGTTTCTGCAGCCCAGGGTCCCCCACGCTGCTGTCGCTGCTGTCGGGGAGTCAGTGGGTGGCGCTTTCCTCTGAGCACTCAGCTGAAGAACAGCCTTCTGACTCACTGGAGCTGGGGCAGATTCCCGTCCTTGTCGCTGTGTGGCGGCTGCTGCTGCAGTTCTGTGCTGGATGTTGTCTGAGGACAGCCGCAGGTCTTGGGCTGTCGCTTCTATACGCTGCCTCAGCTCCTGTTCCAGAGTCTTCCATGGTGTGCCTCTTACTCCAAGCCAGTAAGGGGAGTCTTATACAACGTAGCCTCTCGAGTCAGTGACATTCCACCACCTCTGTCATCTCTGTCACATTCTATGGAGCCTGTGGAAGCAAGTTCCAGGCCTCACCCAGGGAGAAGACCGTACAGAGACAGGACATCGGGAGGTGGGAGTCACCTGGGGTCTAGGATCTGTGGTATCATTTGTTGTTGGACAATAACAGAGACACAACACTCAATTCCTTCTGGGACTGCAAGTAGTTGTCAGGCCAGGCTGCCCTTAATAAGCTGGAAGTTTCCAGAAGGCAGACATTCCCATTCATCTCTGTACGCTTCAACACCTAGCACTTCCTATGCTGTGTGTTCACATGCTGGTTCTCCCCTTCATCGCATCCATGCAGCCCTGAGCCTCCTCGGACACTGATCCCCAAAGACTACCACCTCCGCCCCCTGACTCCCAGCTGGCCCGTCCACTGAGATGCGCTAGAGACTGGAGGGGCAGGAGAGAGGGACTGGGTACCACTGCCTTCACTCCTGCTGCTGGCCACAGTATAAAGGAGTGGACTTCCTGCTGGGTTCAGCCCCAGTTCTGGAGTTCCCTTCCTTCACTCAGCAGCTGTGATGCCTGTCAGAAGAGGGCGTGGGATGCTCTGGAACTGAAGTTACAGACTTGTTAGCCGCTGTGTGGGTGCTGGGAACCAATGGGGTCTTCTGAAGGAGCAGTCAGTGCTCTTGACCACTGAGCCATCTCTCCAGACCCCTTGATTAATATTTTTCAAGAGTAACATTTTGATTTGTTTAACTGGGAATTGTGCTAGGCAGGCCCTCGACCACTGAGCAGCCTCCCCAGGATCTTTTTACTTTTGTTTTGAGACAAGGTCTAACTAAAGGGCCCAGGTTGGTCTCCAACTTGTGGTTCTCCGGCGTCTGCTTCATGCGTAGATGGGATCACAGGCCTGCACAACCACACCAGGTTTCAGATTAACATTTGAGAGGAGCTGGAGCTCAAATACATCGTCAATGGACAAGTGTGCAAATGTGTGATTGCAGAAAGGGTTGAAGTGTGAACAGATACAAGTGTGGCTACAGAATGCGTGCGTGCGTGCGTGCGTGCGTGCGTGTGTGTGTGTGTGTGTGTGAAGAGTGCAAGCATGCACGGTTACAGAAATAGGGAAGTGTGAGGCACACACGTAATTGCAGAAAGGCGTGGAGAGAATAAGGGCGAGTTCTCTATACAGGCAAGGCGCCATGCTGGTGTGCATAGTTTTACAGCTGAATGGGCCAAAAAGCGTGGGGCAGGAGGAGGAAGGCAGAAGTTGAGAGAGGAGGGTTCCTCCAGGGTAGTGGATGAGCTCACTCTGACCCCATAGAGACACAACAGAATCCTGAGCAAACTGCTAATCCTGGCATTAACCCACCCCATCCCGGTGGGACCGCGGGCAGGTGCCCCTGGCGGCTGCGCTGCCAAAATGCGGCTCCAGGGGGCGCAGAGGCTCTGGCTCTTGGAGTTGAACTCCCTCTGAGAACCCTGCCCTGCACCCTCTGGGTCAGCCGAACAGTCTGGGAGGGCACAGATGGTTCTAGCGGTATCTCCGCCTCTCAAGGAAAGACCCAGTTCTCGCTTTTGTGGGAAGACTAATTTATTGAATAAATGATTAAGACCTCTAATTATACAAAGACTGAACACAGCATGCATCTCTGCAGCGTCTACAAATCTCACCAAACTGCAATAAATGATTTTTTAAAATACAGGTCCCCAGAGACTAAGGCAGATGGCAGACAAGATGGGCATAGTGGTGTATGCCTGTAATCCTAGCACTCAGGAGAAGCTGAGGCAGGAGGATGGCAAGTTTCAGGCAGCCTGGGCTATAAGATGGGACCCCACCTCAAACAAATATGGTAGACAGAAAGTTCAGGGAGCTGGAAAAATGGTGATTTATTACAGTGGAGAACATTGAGACCTCCATTTCCTCAGTGATGAAAAGACTGCTGGGCCAGCTCAGGTGGGTGCAAACACAAAGCAAATCCTGCCACAGAGGTCTAGGAGACGAGTCTGGGACGCAGAATGTGAGAGTCATAATAGAGGCCAAAAGCTTGTGCAAAAGGAAATGAGCTGTACAGATGCGTGCTCTCTCTCTCTCTCTCTCTCTCTCTCTCTCTCTCTCTCTGTGTGTGTGTGTGTGTGTGTGTGTGTGTGTGTGTGTGTGTGTGTGTGTGTGTGGTGTTTGGTTGGTTTTGTTGCCTTTTTTTTTTTTTTTATAAGATAGAGTCTTATAAAAGACTGGTTGACCTGGAATTTGGTATCTAGATCAGACTGCCCTTGAACTCATAAAAATTAGTCTGCCTCTGCCTTCTGAGTGCTGGGATCAAAGGTGTGTACCACCAGACATGCTCTGTACAGCTGGAGAATAGGCATCTGAGGCCTCTGTCCCTTGTGACCTGCTTGAGAGCTATCCTGCAGGACTCCAAGAGGCCCCAGTTTGCAGGCACAGTCTGGGGAGGAGGAAAGGACCCCCTGAAAGTGGAGAGCCAAGGGCAAGTTTGTTGAATGAACTGTGATGACAATCCCATTCCTTCCCAAACTGGTTCCTTGAACACTGGCTTGGTTTCAGTCTGGGTCCGCAGGTACTGGAGGAAAGCCTCGAAGCTGAATGAGTACCCACAGTAAGCAGATTGAAGCACGGGTTCCTTCTGCAGGGACAGCCCCTCTCTAGGGGTCCTTCTTCTCTTCCTAATCATCAGAAAAAGGTATCCTATCCCTCCTATGCCAGCCCCAACCCCCGTGTGCAAGACCTATGCTCCACTGCCAGCCTCAGCCTCCGTGTGCAAGACCTATGCTCCACTGCCAGCCTCAACCCCCGTGTGCAAGACCTATGCTCCACTGCCAGCCTCAGCCTCCGTGTGCAAGACCTATGCCCCACTGCCAGCCTCAGCCTCTGTGTGCAAGACCTATGCTCCACTGCCAGCCTCAGCCTCCGTGTGCAAGACCTATGCCCCACTGCCAGCCTCAGCCTCTGTGTGCAAGACCTATGCTCCACTGCCAGCCTCAGCCTCTGTGTGCAAGACCTATGCTCCACTGCCAGCCTCAGCCTCCGTGTGCAAGACCTATGCTCCACTGCCAGCCTCAGCCTCTGTGTGCAAGACCTATGCTCCACTGCCAGCCTCAGCCTCTGTGTGCAAGACCTATGCTCCACTGCCAGCCTCAGCCTCTGTGTGCAAGACCTATGCTCCACTGCCAGCCTCAGCCTCCGTGTGCAAGACCTATGCTCCACTGCCAGCCTCAGCCTCTGTGTGCAAGACCTATGCTCCACTGCCAGCCTCAGCCTCCGTGTGGCAGAGCTATGCTCCACTGGTATTCATGGTAGAATTGTGACTCTCACAAATGAGAGCAGCCCGATGCACCCAGGTGAGCTGCTGGCAAGCACTGGCCGGTTTGTTGCATAAGAAACTCATGTATAGGCAATTGCCATTCGGTGGCATAAGTAATGTCTTAATGGCTGATTCCATTGTCTCTGAAATCCCAGAACTGGAAAGTGACCAACACAGTTAGGTGTGGAAGGCCAGCATGAACATCTCTCAGGCCACTGCTACAGGCTTAGTGATCTCTGCCTTCACCCACCTCTCCATGACCACGGACCCATAAGACTTGCAAGTCTTAGCCGGGCGGTGGTGGCACACGCCTTTAATCCCAGCACTTGGGAGGCAGAGGCAGGCGGATCTCTGCGAGTTCGAGGCCAGCCTGGTCTACAGAGTGAGTTCCAGGACAGCCAGGGCTACACAGAGAAACCCTGTCTTGAAAAGCAAAACAAAACAAACAAAAATCCAGAAACACTCAAGGATGTAGCTTAATCTGTAGAGTCCTTGTCCGGTACGAATGAACCCGAGTGAATCAGGAGTGGTGGTGCGTGTCTGTGATCCCATTCCTTGGGAGGTGAGGCAGGAGGATCAGAAGTTCAAGGTCACTCTCAGCTACATAGCAAGTCTGAAACCAGATGGACTATATGCATGCGATCCTGTCAAAACAAAACAAGAGGTCATTTTTACAGGAATGGCTTACTAGAGACTGGTTCGTTTGCTGTATTCATCTCCATTCTCCTGTGGTTGTTACAGGGGTAAGACGACCTCATGACAAGACAGGATGCATGTTGCCAGCAGGTGGATGTCGTTTTTAGTTTTTGGAGGCATCACCAAGTGTGGCCCACGGGAAGGCTGGGATAAGCATCGGCTGACACTTGGGCCTGGGAGAAGCACGTTCTTGGGGTGTCGGGAACGACAGAGTAAAACCTTCCAACTCTTCAGGCCCTCCCAGAACACACTCACCATGTAGCAACCTGTCCATTTAGACGCCAGGAAAGGAAGGACAAAGTTTATTGCTGTTGAGAAGAAGCTTCCCTCTGCTGTCACAGCACACCTGGCTAGCCCAGGTAAACACTGCTCCTCCAGGAATGAATGGCCTTCCCCTCTGGGACCCAGGACCACGGGGATGAAGGTGCAGGGTGGGGACTTCCAGATGCCGTGGACTTAGGTACGCCACAAGATCAGGTTGGCTGGAGGAACGTCGAAAAGTTTGCGGGTGTGGTCAGTCTCCCTTCGGTACAGGTAGCCACAGGTGGGTTTCTGCAAGGTGTAGAAGGGGTTCAGAGAGTTGGAGTACTGGGAGGTGTAGAAATTGAACCTGATGTTATTTGGGTTGTGTCCCCGAGGATCCACCACTACTGGTACAAAGGAAGCCACCAGGGACTGCTCTCGGTCTCGTTTCCATGTCTGTGACAACGGTGGTGGCGGCGGTGACGGTGGCGTCTTCATCTTTTTGTCTGATGGCATCTTTTGCCCATGGCTGGGGGTTGAGGATTTTTGTGAGTCCTAAGAAGAGAAAATAAAGGAGAAAGTGGCCAGGTCTGAAAGCTGGGGAATCAGACTTTGATTTGATTTGCTAAAGCCAGGTCTGGAAGGAGAATGTGCCCCTTGCAGTGACCCCAGAGCCACCCTGGAACGCAGTTCTGCTGGCCAAGATTCTAGAACAGGGAAAAGAACCCTGGAACAGATGGGACTTCCCTGCTCCTGCGGACTTCTGCCTCATTATCAGGGGCACCTGCCAGTTCAGAAGGCGAGGAACCTGGATGCTGCCTTCAGTGCCTCTCCCTCCTAGAGCCAATCATCACTCCTCCCCATGGCCATTGGAGCAGTGCTCCCCCACTCCTGACACTCTACCAGGCCTTCATCCTCTTCCTCCTGAAGGATCACCCCAGCATCCTTTGAAGTCATTCTCTCTTCAACCTCTTGCCTTTCCCACTCACTCCAGAAGGTACTTTCCGTATTAAGTGCTAAATAATCCAGATGTTCCCAAAGCACCTTTCATGTCTACTACCTGGAAAATAAATCCTAAAGCTTCGAGCCTAGAATGCAAGATGTTTAATGAAGATGTGGCGCCATCTCCCCAGCCTTTCATCGTCCCTCTACCCGCCGTGTGTCGTGCCACAGTGGACTGTCACCCAGACCACACTTCATCCTTCCAGACCCTCCAGATCATTAGAGAATCCCATCCGCACAGGCCGGCACAAGCTCTCTTGCTTACTGTCTGTAGGAAGACCCCTTACCCGTGACATAGAAGCCTCGAAAATCCTGTTTCTTTCCTCCAGACCAAAGCATTTAGAGAGTACTCAGTAAATGCTGTTCACCTCAACTGAATTCCAGTATAGGGCAGTCCAGCTTCCAAGCCGCTGGCCCAGTTCTGTTTTAGAACCTCTCATTGTTACCAAAGGTGTGTCCTTTCTTCCTAGGCCCACCTCCCCTCAACCTCTGCCCTTGACTTCTACAAGTTCCCCATTGTCACATTGGTCACACGTACTGACATTTGCTTACCCTCTGCTGTCTATCACCCTTCTTGACTCTCCTATGATGGAACTGCTTTGCTCCTTGAAACCCCCCAATATCTTTCAGGGACCAAGTGTCCATTTTATTTACTTAGGTGTTTATGGGTTTGGTTTGGTTTTTGCTTTTTGAATTGAGTTCTCTCAATTCAAACTCAATGGGGTAGCCCAAAGGTAACCTTGAATTCCTCATCCCCCTATTTCTACCTCCCAAGATCCTTTTTTCTTACAGACTTTGAGTCAATACAATCCACAGCCTGGGCTGTCTGCAGGTGACCATCCACCAGAGTGCATCAGGGTACCTGAGTTCTGTTCCCAGGGCTTCCACTACCAACCGTGTTCTCTCTGCCCAGCCTCAGAGCTCAGAAAAGCCCTGGTGATGGAGTTAGGGAAGGTGGAGTCCTCCTACAGAAGCCCCTGGCTCAAGTCAGGATAGAACTTTGCTTCTGATTTACAAACTGCTTTCCCAGGCAACACATGACTGTACAAGGCCCCTATTTCTGCTTTTTGAAATTCTCCCCATCTTCTCCGGGCAGACAGCTCTCTTTACTGCCTTCCTCTCCAGGGAATGATGTCCCAAGTCTGCCACAGCCCGCACCCCATCCTTTGCTCTCTACCACCCACAAGGATGAGCACCACACCCAATCTGGGGCAGACCCCCATTACCTCACTTAACCTTGTCTTCCACAGTCTTTAGAGAAAGGATATTTTCTTTCACATTCTTGAGTTTGACCAGAGAGAGGATCTGTTGGGCCCCCTCTAGCCTATCTGTTGTGGAATATGTTGGGAATTGCATGCCAGCAATGAGATCAGAGGCAAGAATGGCCTACAGAAATAATCCTTGTTCTGACTATTGGCAGAACTAAAAAGCACCCCATGCGTGGCAATGGATGAGGACCAGCCAGCCCACCATGAGAAGGTGACAAACCATCCCCTGCTGAGGTTAGGCACTCACCAAACCACCTACGTAAACCACCACCACCCAATCAGTCTCTCAGCAAGATGAAATTTGGACATGAGTCCTCTGTCTTCTCCTCTACATGAAGAGAATCACAATCTGTCCCTCAGCATCTTGTCTCATGACTTAACTCTCCTGCTGCGTGGTGAGCAGCTAGACCTGGATCTGCTCACATTCCCAAGATGTTGTTCTTTTCTAGGAGGGACTAAGGTAGGTACATACTTTTTTAAAAAGCTGTCAACTAGGCCTGGAGGAATGGCTCAATGGTTAAGGGCACTTGCTGCTCTTCCAGAGGATCCAAGTTCTGCTCCCAGCGGCTCACAACCATCTGTGACTCCAGCTCCAGAGGATTCTACGGCACCCTCTCCTGGCCTCCACAGGCACCTTCATATACATGCACACACACACACACACACACACACACACACACACACACACACACACGCACATACACACAATACACATAATAAAAGTAAATATTTGACAACAAAAAGAAGTTGTAAGCCTGGCACAGGGGCCACACTAATCTTAGCACTTGGCAGATGGAGACAGGAAGGTGAGGAGCTCAAGTCACCCTTGCCTCAACTAAACAGTGAGCCCAAAGCCCCAGGATGCATGAGACTCTTCCTCAAAAAACAAAACCAAGCCAGGCAGTGGTGGCGCATGCCTTTAATCCCAGCACTTGGGAGGCAGAGGCAGGTGGATCTCTGTGAGTTTGAGGTGAGCCTGGTCTACAGAGCAAGATCTAGGACAGGCACCAAAACTACACAGAGAAAGCCTGTCTCGAAAAACAAAAATAAATAAATAAATAAATAAAACAAAACAAAACCCAAGAGAAGTCATCACCCTGAGACTTCTGGACAGTTCAGGAGACTGCCGCCAGGTCTGACAGAGGCAAATGCTTCAGAACGTGTGGGGAGCTGACAAGGACCCCACATTAGGAAGGATAATGCATTTTGTGACAGACTCGAGCATCTGCTGTAGTGGTTGAATGAGAATGGCCCCACAGGCTCTTATGTTTGAATGCTTGGTCCCAGTTGGTGGAACTGTTTGGGAAGGATCAGGAGGTGTGGCCTTGTTGGAGGAGGTGTGTCACCATTCTAGTTGGCTCTCCTGTTGCCTCAAGGTTATTGTCTTAACATGAAAGCTCTCAGCTACTGCTCCAGCGTCATGCCTGCCTGCCTGCTGCCAGGCCTACCACCATGATGGTTATGGACTATAACCCCCCGAAGCAGTAAGCCCAATAAACTCTTCCTTGTCTAGATTTCCTTGTCATAGAGTCTCTTCATAGCAAAAGAAAAGTAACTTAGACACTACCAAGTACCAGGCATTCGTCACTCAAATGTCAGTCACCTCTGCCAAAGCTCCTAAGAGACAAGTGAGATGTTAACCCCATTTTTCTAACGCTGAAGCAGAGGCTCATGGGTATCTAAGCTATCATCAGTTGACGCTCACACAGTTTGTGACAAAGCACAGAATGCTTTTCAGAATTCTCACAACTGACTTACACAACAGCCAGAATTCCAACACAGTCTTTACTCTGCCTCAGCCCAGGGCATGGGCCCACCTGCTCTGGGCCCACCTGCTCTGGGCCCACCTGCTCTGGGCCCATCTGCTCTGGGCCCACCTGCTCTGGACCCATCTGGTCTGGACCCACCTACTCTGGCCCCACCTGCCCTGGGCCCACCTGTCCTGGGCCCACCTGCTCTGGACCCACCTGCCCTGGGCCCACCTGCTCTGGGCCCATCTGCTCTGGACCCATCTGCTCTGGACCCATCTGCTCTGGGCCCACCTGCCCTGGGCCCACCTGCCCTGGACCCACCTGCTCTGGACCTACCTGCTCTGGACCCACCTACTCTGGGCCCACCTGCTCTGGGCCCATCTGCTCTGGACCCACCTGCCCTGGGCCCACCTGCTCTGGGCCCATCTGCTCTGGACCCATCTGCTCTGGATCCATCTGCTCTGGACCCATCTGCTCTGGGCCCATCTGCTCTGGGCCCACCTGCTCTGGCCTCACCTGCTCTGGGCCCACCTGCTCTGGGCCCACCTGCTCTGGCCTCACCTGCCCTGGACCCACCTGCTCTGGCCTCACCTGCCCTGGACCCACCTGCTCTGGCCTCACCTGCCCTGGGCCCACCTGCCCTGGGCCCACCTGCCCTGGACCCACCTGCCCTGGACCCACCTGCTCTGGACCCACCTGCTCTGGACCCACCTGCTCTGGCCTCACCTGCCCTGGACCCACCTGCCCTGGGCCCACCTGCCCTGGACCCACCTGCCCTGGACCCACCTGCCCTGGACCCACCTGCTCTGGACCCACCTGCTCTGGCCTCACCTGCCCTGGACCCACCTGCTCTGGGCCCACCTGCTCTGGACCCACCTGCTCTGGGCCCACCTGCTCTGGGCCCACCTGCTCTGGCCTCACCTGCCCTGGACCCACCTGCCCTGGGCCCACCTGCTCTGGGCCCTCACCTGAAGGCTCTGCCCTAGATACTGCTGCCGCCGCCACATGCAAGGGCCTTGCTACATCCAGAGAATAGCTCCCACAGAAACTGGGGCAGAAGGACAGTTCAGGGGAGGAAAAAAGAAGAGAGGAAGGAAGAAGAGAAAAAGGAAGGGGAGGAGGTTGCTAGGGAGATGGCTCATCAGTTGGGAAGGTTTGCTCTTCTTCCGAAGGACTCCAGTTTGACTCGCATCGGCCATGTTGGATGGCTCACAACCACCTGTAACTCCAGCTTCGGAGATCCAACACTCTCATCTGGACTCTGCGAGCACCTGCTTCCACGTGACATACACACATCATACACATAAGAGAAATAAAAGGAAATAGAGAGAGAGAGCGAGAGAGAGAGCGAGCGAGAGAGAGAGAGAGAGAGAGAGAGAGAGAGAGAACACAAAGGAGCGTGGAGGAGGAAGGAGGAAGAGAGAGCTCATGGCCTAGCCTTGCCCCGCCCCTCCCAGGGGCCAAGCTGGGCAGGCTCTGGGTAACTAACTCAGTGGGCTGAGAACACCCATTCCCTGCCCAGGCCCCAGCACAG